AAAAATAAATCTTAAAAACAAAACAAAACAAAACAAAACAAAAACCTTGCCAGGAAGTGGTGGCGCACGCCTTTAATCCCAGCACTTGGGAGGCAGAGGCAGGAGGATTTCTGAGTTCGAGAGTTCGAGGCTAGCCTGGTGTACAGAGTGAGTTCCAGGACAGCCAGGGCTACACAGAGAAACCCTGCCACAAAACAAAACAAAACAAACAAACAGCCTGGTGGTGGTGGTAGTGGCACAAGCCTTGAATCCCAGCACTCAGGAGGCAGAGGCAGGTGCAGCTCTGAGTTCCAGGCCAATCTGGTGCATAAGAGTTCCAGGACAGCCAGGGTTATACAGAGAAACCCTGTCTCAAAAAAATGAAACGTAAAAAAAAAAAAAACCCTAAAACAAACAAATCAACTAACTATCAACAAAACAGAGAAGTTGGGCGTGGTGACACATGCTTTTAATCCCCAAACAAAAACCAAAACCACAAACATAGAGAAGGGGAGAAGAAAGGGAGGGAGGAGGGAGAGGGTGGCCCTCTTCTCTTAAAAGAAGGTGGGTAAAACATCACTGAACAATTAGCAAGTTAGCATATGAAGTACACACTAGATAATAGTATTTTTAAGAATTTACCAGGGATGGGGTGAGGGTGCACATGTGTGCTTGTGTGTGTGGAAGCACTGTCCTGACTGAGCGGCTCCCCAGCACTAGGAACAACTGAACTGTTCCACAGTACCCTTCCTAAGCACCAGCACCCTAGAATTCATGGGCATTTTGGACTTGAGTGGGACGTAAATCTCTGAGCCTCAAGCACGGAAGCAATGGAGCAGTCATTCAGCCAGGTCACGTGACACAAGGGGACGGTGCCGCCTGACGCCACCTTCGCCTCCAGCTCTGAGCTCCAGAACTTGAGAGCCTTATTTTCAGTTGTTTCAGCAGGCCCACCTGTTGCACTGTGACATAGCGGCCTTGGAGAATGGTCACTGCAAAGGTTTTGCAGGAGAAAACCCATTCTCTGGCTGTGTGTGCTGACATCCTCTCTTTTATTGCTTCAGATACTTGGGAATAAAGGGGCCAGAATGTCTGTGCTTACTTTCCCAGGAGTCAGCAGCAGTGACATTAGGAAATGCAGATATGGAAAATGAAGACTGAGGGCTCGTCTCCATTAAAGTACAGGGCGCTGGGTACAGGCCCCTTGAAGAGCAGCATGGCCCACTGTGCAGCTGCTCTCAGGGACCCACTAGACCACACCCCTATGTCTAGAGCTGTAGAATAAGGAAAAAAGCCAAGAGCCCACCTCTTCTGCTCTGTGAGACCTGAGTTAAGATGCAGCACCTGCAAGGACAGGCAACCGGGGAGCCCAACCCTCAGGGGCCGCCTGGGGGCGGGGCCTTGGAGGGACAGCTGCGGCTGCGCGGATCGAAGGCCTGGCAGCCCCAGGTGCCCGTTACTCATCACTTTCCCCAGAGCTTCTGGTAATATTCCCCTGCCTCCAGGGAGTCGCTGGTCCCTTGAGATCTGAAAGTGGCCCTGCAGAGCCTCTGCCCACACAGGTTCCTCCAGCCACTACTCACAGATTCTCGCACTAGCCAACCACAGCCCCTTCCCAGAATGCCACGCCCCTTGCTGACACGTGCACCTTCCTTCTCTCACTCTTCCCCCAAATTCCAGACACTGTCCACCTCTTACTTCCTTACAGTCTTACTTCCTTTTGACTCTTATGCCGTGTGGCATCTCTACCCTCTTCTCACACCTCTAGGGCTTCCTGCCTACCAGGGACCCTACCTTAGTAGCTCTGCTAACAGCTCTTAAGTCTTGAGCTCTCCAAGGGTGACCTCGATGGACCCTCAACACTGCTCTGGGGGGCCAGGATGCAACCCATTCATCATCAAAGGTGGGTAAAGGGGCGGAGTCACAGAGCCCGGACCAGGAAGCCACTACCAAACTTAGGGGACCTGCCCTGAAGCCAGTGCTCTAAATGAACTGTGGCTCTAAAATCCCAAATGGGCCAGCCAGCAGGACACAGGGCCAATCTTCACCTCCTAGCTCCTAGCTTTGTTTTTTAAGGAAACAAAACCGTGCTAGCCTGGGAAGAGCCCCTGAACCTATAGTGCACTTTCCTTTCCATTGACTCTGAAAAGCCCCCAGCAGACGGTGGCCCAGGCCCCTGGTCTGAACTTCTTAAAGCTGTGTGGAGCAGGGAACTGCTCTGTTGAGATGCCTGAGGAAAGGCTTGGAACATAAAGCTTCCCTTGGAGCTAGGAGGTAGTCCTGGCTGGCCTGGTACTTACTATGTAGACCAAGATAGTCTCAAACTCAGATCTGCCTGTTTGCCTTCGCCCAGACTCCCAAGTACTGGGATTAAAGATATACACTACCACATCTGTTTATTGTAGTTGTTTTTGTTTGTTTTTAATGACTTCTTGATGTTGAGACAGTGAGGTGCGGCCCAAGTTGATCTAAACTTCTCTATGTAGCTGAATATGAACCTGAACTTCCGACCCTCCCAAGGGTCTGGACTATGAAACAGTATGCTCTGTTTATGCAATGCGATTGACTCCAGGGTGCATCACACAGGATAGGCAAGAACTCTAACAGAGCCACAGCCCGTCCTTTAAACAAGCATTTCTTTCTTTCTTTTTGTTTATTTATTTATTTTTCTTATTTATTTATTTGGTTTTTGGAGACAGGGTCTCTCTGGGTAGCCTTAGCTGTACTGGAACTCACACAGATCTGCCTGCCTCTGCCTCCCAAGTGCTAGAATTAAAGGCACGTGCCACCATTGCCCAGTTCAAACAAGCCTTTTTGAATGCTTACCATGATGAGGCCATCCCAGAAGTGACTGCTCCTTGAGCATCCATCCAGCTCCCCAGAAAGTCAGCACCCTCTCACCTCCCATGCCAGACTAAAATGTGAGAGACGTCTATGAACTAGAAGAGGAAAACCCCTCACTTTCCTGGAGGCTCCCTTCCAGGGCACTCTCCCTTCCAAGAACACTGCTCAGGGTGGCCGTGGCCTCTCCACCCAGCACCTAGGTCAAAGTTCCAGCTGCCACACTCCAAGCAGTACTTGTGACAAACAAGAATCAACTCCATTTGCCACAGCCCAGGGAGTTGGTATCACCTGGCATTCTGGCTTCAAGGATGGGAGAGGGACAACTTGTTTGTATCAGATGTCCCTCTCTGTATCTTCAAATGAGGACTGTCTGAGAATGCTCTTGACTTTCTGACTCTTTCTGTGGAGGTACCAGAGTGGCCCAGTACCCCAGAGGTTAAGGGGTAAGGCTCGGCTAGGCAGGAAAGTTAAGAACCACTTCCGAGCCCATGAGAGTTGCACACCCAAGTCTCTGGGTTCACTCAGCAGTTCCCAAGGAGCCTCTTTTTCAGCCAACAGAGACATGGTGTCAGTGACTTGCCATCTACATCTGAAGATGGCTGAACCAATCTCCAGCAGAGTCAAGACTTAACGCCTCTTTGATCAAAGCCAAAAGGCTGCTTCAAAACACCCTGGATTTTCTCTTTGTCCCAGTCTAAGGGGAATATGACAACTTCAGAAACAAATTGTTCTGGAAAAAAGCCAAGGCATGGTAGACATGCCCTCTCTGCTTTAGAACAGTCTTCTAGAAAAAGTCTCCATCAGCCCCTCCCCCAGCCCATAAGCTGGAACACCAGCTGCAACTGCAGCAGCAAAGACCCACAGAGGCCCGCTGTCCCTGAAGCGAACCCTGTGTCTGTGAAAGCTCTGTCCCCACTCCAGCTTCACCCCCCAGCTGTGTAACTTGAAGCACGGTTATTTCTCTTACGCCTCGGTAGCCTCGTTTTTTTTTTTTTAAAAAAAGAGAGACCCAACTGCACCTACTTCGTGGGATTAGATGGGAGGCTTCTAGAAGAGACTGCTTACCCCAGTGTCTGCCAGAGTTAAGTGTCGAGTAAGATGCGCTTTGCTCCAAAGGAAACTAGTAATTAAAGAGTCCCTAAAAGTCCCGTGTGAGCCATTACGCATGCACTTATCCATCTTACGTTTATATACATCTTTAAAAACTAACTACCCTCGCAACGCAACATCTCGGGGTGTAAGGGTGCCTATGGCAGAGCGACAACCCTCCAGGCCAAAGGAGTCATGCCAAGCTCTCGAAGGGCAGTCCCTGGCCTCTGAACGTCAGTGGTACCCCTCCTAGGGACGAATGGCTGCAGGCCAACCTAGTATGGACAGTCGGCACCGGAACTGAGAGTCAACCCTGGCAAGGCAGTCAGGTTTTGTGAGTGAGGAATAAGTATGCACGTCTGAGCCCCGAAGCCGGCGTGGTCTCGCGCTGGCCTTCCAAGCGACGTGAGGCCTGTTCAAAAGCCAGGGCCGTGGGGCTTTGGGGCGGGCACGAGAGTCGGTGATGGGAGAGTAGGCGGCGGGGACCTCTCACCAGGTCCTGGCCGTCCCGCAAAGCCAGGCCTCCCCTGCTCCCACCGCAGGACGATGATCCCTGCTCTAGCGGCCCAGCCCCCGGCAGCAGGCAGCAGCCGTCAGGAACTCACCTGCCGTCGCAACCGCGCCGCCTGTCAGTCAAGCGCGCCCGCCGCGGCGCCGCGCAAAGTCTTGTGGCTAAGCCTGCCGCGCCCCGCCTCCTCACCGTCAGATGTCCAATCGGAAGAGCCTATGCCAGGGACGGGGGCGGTGTCACGGGTCGCGGCTGACTAGAGGGCGGTACCGGGCACGCCGGAGGCGTGGCCCTGCGAGGGTTGTGTACCCAAGCTTGCCGGGAGTAGGGGGTGTGGCCGTACTGCTGGGGCGTCGCCGTGTGGTTCGAAGGCTGTCCTGCAGTGGGTGAGCGTGGTCACTCGCTAGGGCGTGGCCGAGGGTGTGGCCACGCGGCGGTACCTGCGCAGGCTTTTCCGAGTTCGGAACGGGTGGCTGCCCTGCTGAGTCCTGGCGGTACAGGTTTGGGGTGTGGCCTGGCAAGCCGGAGGCGGGCCTAGTTGCACCCGGCGCTCTGACGACACTTCTGCGCGCCGGAAGAAGTTTCCTGTACTACGCGTCTGGTAACGCAGCGCCCAGGGTCTGGTTCCGCTATGCGGATCACCGGGAAGACATTCCGCCGGCGCCGGGCTGACTCAGAGTCCGAGGAGGATGAACAAGAATCAGAGGAGGTTCGGTACGTGTTGGGTAGGGTCTTCACAGGCCAGGAAGAGAGAGACAGGATGACTGCATTTACTGGGAGCCAGGGTTGTTGTCTTTCAGAGGCTCCTAGGGATAAGTCAGACCCGTGCGACCCCGGGCTGCGCGGCTGGGAGAGGTGCCCCGGTGTCGCATGAGTCTGACTGCCGATGACCCACCGTGTCAGAGACTCGGCAGAAGAACATATCAGAACGGAGTTTGGCTTTTGAGTTCCGCAGAGGGTCTGTCATCCTGTGCATCACTTTTTATTCATTTTTCCCCAGGCTAAAACTGGAAGAAACCCGAGAGGTGCAGAACTTGCGGAAGAGGCCAAATGGGGTGAGGTGGGTACCACGGGGGTGGTGGCGGCGTCATTGATGAGAAAAAACTTCCCAGCTAGGGTGGCAGTCATAAATCTCTCCTTTGCCATAGTCCCTTCTCTTGACATACACTTCCACTGACCATAGAGGGGACAAAGGTTCTTTACAAATGTTTAACTGTCACATGCCCTGAACCTGATGGTCTCTGAGGCTGCTCAGGTCACTAACTCGAATTTTTAATTTCACTGATGAATTGTGATGCACAACATGTTGAAAGATAAGAATTTGGAAAACTTAAATAAAAAAGTATAATTAATTAGCAGTAGCCTGGTTTGGTGGTTGGTGCATGCCTGCAATCCTACCACAGGGAGTTTGAGGGCAACTTAGGCTGCATAGCAAGACCCTATATTTTAAAAAGAGTAAAGAAAAAGAAAAAAACCTGAGGTAGAGAGACAGAATTTATAATCTTTCCATTTATTTCCCACCTGTTTCTTTTTTAGTTTTGAATATTGTAATCAACTTTATGTCTACTTTTATCCCATGCTTTTAAAGAACTAAATGATTATAATACTGTGAGCCTCTGGCCATGGTATGTGTTTTCCAGGAAACCTTTTCAGAAGGCTGCATAATGTTCATCGCCAGGGTATGCACTATAACTTGTTACCAGACCCACTGGGTCGGTGTGGTGCCTCACCCAGACCTGAGAAACCAGAACAACGGGATTACCATAAGTTTGATGCCAGCCTGGCCTGCAGAGTCAAACTGGTCTCAGCATCAGCAAAGCCCGTCCTAGTGGCATAGCCCTGTAGTCCCAGCTACTTGGGGGACTAAAGTAGAAAGCTCACTAAGACCCGCTTGAGCAGCTTAATGAGACCCTGTGCCATAAAGTAAACAAAATATTTTGAGGATAGGTCAGTGCTAGTGTGCTTGCTCAGTCCCTGCGAGGACTTCAGTTTCTAAGGGTCACTTTGGTAAATTTTCACTACCAGTAAAAGCTGCAGTGCATATGCTCTGCCATTGTCTTCTGTTATAGCTCCTCTGACTGGTGGAACCTTACACTGTATGCAGGGCACTGAGTTCTTCCTTGGCTTTTGTAACTACTTTCCCACTACTTCTCGGTTGTGCCCGTTCATCAGTGTTCCAGCCTGCAAACTGATTGTCCCAGTTGCTTCCTTCTGCTGTGACCATGACCAGAACAACTTGTACCCTCCTGAACATACTCAGTTATTTGGGGAATCATGGTAGGGACTGAAGCAGAGACCTGGAGGGACACTGCTTACTGGCTTGTTCACATCCAGCTATCTTATACAACCCAGGACACCTGCCCAGGGGGAGGAGCACAAGGGCCTTCCCATGTCACTCACTGAAAAGAAGATGCCCCATGTTTGCCTACAGGACAGCATGATGGAGGCATTTCCTCAATTGAAGTGTTTTCTAACCAGACAATTCCAGCTTATGTCAGATCGACAACTAAGCACACTGATTTCCTCCTTGTCTTCCTGTCATTTCTCTTCCTGTGGTTTGGTTTCTTTTGCTCAGTGCGGCTGCCCTGCTGGTGGGAGAGAAGGTTCAAGAGGAGACTACTCTAGTGGTGAGTGTTGGCTCCTCTCTGTGGCTGCTCTTCTTAAGGTATAACCATGGTACCAGGGAGCTAGCTCAGAGTGCTTGTTATGTAAGCACAAGCATCCATATTTGGATCCCCTGACATCCCATGAAAACCTAGGCAGGCATGGTGGCACATGCCTGTCATCTGAACACTGGGGAGGCAGAGACAGAATAATGTGGCTGAATAAGCAAGCTAAGGGACCTTTTCTCACAGTATAAGTCAAAGAGTGGCTAAAGTGCTTCAAGTTCTTGCTGAGTCAATCTCCTAGCACCCACATAAAAGCCGTATATGATAGCTTACATCTGTATGCCTACCAGGGGTCCAGTGGAGTCAGATGGATCTCTAGAGCAGGCTGGCCAGCCAGTCCTAAGCTCAAATCAGTAAGCTTCCTGTCTCTGAAATTTAAGGTGGAAAGTGATTGAGGCAGATGCCTGAGTTTGATCTCTTGCCTCCACAACCACAGAAAATACACCCTTAGTCGCATATACATACAGAGAAGTAAAAAGACAGAAAAGAAAAAAAAAACATGGTGAAAGAGTGATGAGAACACACAGTGTTAATTTCTGGCCTGCACATGTGTGCACATATGTGTGCACGTGCAGCAGCACACTCACAGACAATCACACTGACTGGGCTGCTGCTGTTCTAAGCTGTGTGCTCTCTGCAGGATGACCCTTTCCAAATGGCCACAGGTGGCATGGTGGACATGAAGAAACTGAAGGAGCGGGGCAAAGACAAGTAAGTAGAGGAAGCGGGACACAGACGCTGTCGCCTGGGCCTGTGTGCACAGGGACCGGGAGGGACACCCTGCACAGAGCTCACCACGAGCGCGCCAGGGGTCCAGACAGCCCCCACAAGGGGCTCAGAGCCAAGAGAGAAGAGTTCTTTTGTAAAGTAGCCTGTTCGTTATTTCAAACATGGGGAGAAGCTTTGTATGAAAACATAGAAAATAGTACAGTGAAAGCCCAGCACCCTGGAGATGGGGACAGAAGGATTAGGAGTTCACGGTCAGCCTGGGCTGCACTAGACCCTCTCTGAATGAAGCAAACAATGAGGAAATGCGTATGAATTTAGGAACTTGGCACAGAGAGTAAAGCCAAGGGTCTGAGATGAGACTCCTGACCTCACATAGAGCTGAGTGTGGCCGCATGTGGCCGCGATCCCAGCATCGGATAACAGCCAGTCCTGAGGACTTGGGGGCCAGCGCATCTAGCCAAAAGAATGAGCTCTGGGTTAGTAAGAGCCCATCTCTACAGACAAAGGGGAGAAGGTAAAAAGGAGGGAGCCTGACACAACCTTTGCACATATAGGAGCTTACTGTTATAAAAGTTTGCAAAAGAAAGCGTGCATTCGGGCTGTAGAGTCGGCTCCGTGGTTAAGAGCACTGACTGCTATTCCAGAAGTCCTGAGTTCAATTCCCAACAGCTATATGAGGCTCACTACCATTTGGTACCCTCTTCTGGTGTATCTTAAGAGAGCTTCAGTGTACTCACATACATATAATAAACAAGTAAATCTTAAACAAAAGAAAAGCATGCACTCATCCCCCAAAGTATCAGCTGGTGTTGCCTTCTTGCTTGCATGTGTGTCTAGCAGTCTCTCTCTTTACGTACCATCCCGTGTCGTATGTTTTCCTATGTGTTCTGTTGTAACTTGGCATCACATGCATGTAACAATGCATGTGACCTACTCCCTCGTCTCAGGGTCAGCGAAGAGGAGGATCTGCACCTGGGGACATCATTTTCTGCAGAGACCAACCGGAGGGATGAGGATGCAGACATGTAGGTACCAGTGAATCCAGTTGTCTGTAAGTACTGTAGCTGTGCCCCAGCCAGACATTCACACGTATCTGGTCACAGATGGCCTTTCTCATGTTTTCCTGGCTGTGTCCTCCCCACTTCTCAGGCTTGGGATCTGAGAAAGGTTTCAAAGGTAGTTCTCTGTTTGTATTTATATTTCCTGCCCTCTCTCCCTACTTACATCCCCAGCCCTTGCCTTTCTTGATTAGTGATATTTCCTCAAAACACAAGGATTGTCATGGACTTGCCAATCTTTTTCATCAAGGCCTTTAAAACATAGTACCAGAGTACCCCTACCAGAGTACCCCTCCCTTGATCTCTTCCCACTCGGGAAGTCTTCCTCACCGCTGCCCTCCTCCTAGTTTCCAGCCCAGCCTCTTCAAATGGCTCTCCCAGCCATTCCTCCCTCAGTTCTCAGCCCACTTAAACAGTCCCTTCTCCAGTTTTCCCAACTCAGCTCAGCTTCTCCTGTCTCAACTGTCTCCTCAGAATATCTCCTCTACCAGCTGCCTTCTCTTCTCACTTGCCAATCCCATCCCCAGCCTCAGCCTCAGCTAGCCTTTTTATATCCTGTTCTGTTCCCAGAAATCCAAGAGGCAGCCAACACTGATGGTCATTGGGTCAAGCAGTTCTAACTGCTAAGAATTCTTAAAGGGACAGTTGACCAGCAACTGGGGATCCTTTAAAGGTTGAAGCACACAAGATAATGCACACTACACACATTGATTGGTCAAATGGGTCAGTGGGTAAAGATGTCTTCTGCCAGCCTTATGACTGTGTTCAACCTCCAGGACCCACATAGTAGAGGGATAGAACCAACTCCTCTGACTTCACATGTGTTGTGGCGTACCTGTTCCCACATATACATAGATAACAAAGTTAAGTATAAAAAGTTCTTCATTGGAAATGCTAATTAGAAGTTGGGCAGTGGTGGTGCACGCCTTTAATCCCAGCACTTGGGAGCCAGCCTGGTCTACAGAGTGAGTTCCAGGACAGCCAGGGCTATACAAAGAAACTCTGTCTCAAAAAAACACACAAACAAAAAGCTAATTAGCAGTTGCCTTGTTATGGCCATTCTGGCCCCCTGAGCCTGTAGTCTCCCTCCCCCCTCCCCCCAGGATGAAGTACATTGAGACGGAGCTGAAGAAGAGGAAGGGGATTGTAGAGCAAGAGGAACAGAAGGCCAAGCCCAAGAATGCTGAGGACTGCCTCTATGAGCTGCCAGAGAATATCCGAGTCTCCTCGGCCAAGAAGACTGAGGAGATGCTATCCAACCAGATGCTGAGTGGCATCCCTGAGGTGGACCTGGGCATAGAGTAAGTCTCCCAGCCCTGGCTGTGCCCCTGCCCTTGGGAAGAGCTGACACTTTTCCAGTTAGCAGTTACACAGACAAGCCACAGAACACTCACCTAGCATTACTAAGGCCCTGGGTCATGGGAGATGGCTCAGTAAATACTTGTTACACAAGCACAAGGACTTCAGTTTGATCCCCACACCCATGCCAGAAAAGCCAGGTATATTGGGGCACACTGGGCAGCTGGAGATGAGGGAGACATTGGGCTCATTGTTCAGCCAGCCTTGCCTGCTTAGTGAGTTTCAGGCCAATGAGAGACCCCATCGGAAAGAAATATGGCATGTGGCTCCTGAGGAACTATACTGAGATTGTCCTCTGGCCTGCACAAGCACACAGAAGCACACACGTGCTCACAAAGGTTGTGGAAGTCCTTCTTGGTATCCTTGGAAACCTATAGATATGTCCTTTCAGACAAGTTGTCTCTAGGGCTTTCTTGTCACCCCTGGCTCGTGTGGCCAAAGAGGGCCCCTGGCTATGAAGGCATAATGTCTCCTTAGCCTTCACAGCCTCTTCTTCTTAATGAGATCCTGCTTCTCTGGGTAAGAGGCTGGCCCACCCTCTGAGGCTGACGTCACTCATAGGGAGACAGGTCTAGAGGTCAGCAGCAGCCTTGCTGAAGTGAAGTGTCGTCAGACTGTGGCTTCTGAGTGCTGTCTGGCCTGGCAAGCGCTGAACCTTAGGCAGCCTGCTCCGTTCTCAATGGGGACTGAGCTCTTTCTTTTAAATTGACTTATTTATGTGCACTGATGTCTGTATAAGGGTATCATCTTGGAGTTCAGACAGTTGTAAGCTGCCCTGTGGGTGCTGGGAATTGAAGCCTGGTCCTCTGGGAGAGCAGTCAGTGCGCTTATCCATTGAACCACCTCACTGCCTAACCTTGCCAACCCCATGGGGCATGGTTTCTTGTATGTCTGCACATGTGCATTTCTGGGGATTTGAACCAGGGTTTCCCACGTGCTAGGTAAGTGCTCTGCCACTGAACTGCAGGCCCTGCCATAGATTTCCTTTTTAGTTTTTGTTTTTCAAGACATGGTTTCTCTGTGTGTATCCTGGCTGTATTGGAGTTTGACCAGGCTGGCCTCTACTCAGAGACCTGCCTGCCTCTCCCTCCTTAGTGTAGGGGTTAAAGGTGTGTGCCACCACTGCTGGGCTCCAATGTTTCCTCTTTATCATGAGAGAACACATTTGTTGTCCCATGCTGAGTGCTCCACAGTGATGATCACAGGCTCAGGAAAAGTAGGTGACACACAGTGGTATCTGAACCCTGGGGAGGCTAAGACAAGAAGGGATGGCATTTGCAGTCCAGGCCAATGGGTACTGATTAGAAACCTTGGCTTAAAAACAAAAAGGAGGCCTGGAGAGATGGCTCAGTGCTTAAGAGCACTGTCTGCTCTTCTAGAGGTCCTGAGTTCAATTCCCAGCACCCACATGGTGGCTCACAACCATCTGTAATGGGGTCTGGTGCCCTCTTCTGACCTGCAGGTATAATGCAGCAGAGCACTTATATATACAATAAATAAATAAACAACAAAAAAATTAAAAATTAAAAAAAAAGGAAGCTGGCTGTGGTGGTGCCCACCTTAATTCTCTGCACTGGGGGAAGGAGGCAGGAGGATCTCTAACTAGAGGCTAGCCTGGTCTCCAGAGCAAGCTCTAGGACAGCCAGGATACACACACAAACCCTGTCTGGGAAAACCAAAAGGAAAGAAGGAAAGGCATGGAGCAGGCTGGTACACTGTAGAGCACCGTGCCCAGAGCACAAGCTTCTCCTGGTGCACTGGGACTGGCCAGCCTCACCAGTCAGTTCCAAAGCTGCGATGGCCTTTTTATGAGATGTGCCTCTCTCTTTTTACATAGCGCTAAAATAAAAAACATCATTTCCACGGAGGACGCCAAGGCCCGGCTGCTGGCAGAGCAGCAGAACAAGAAGAAGGATAGTGAGACATCTTTTGTGCCCACCAACATGGCTGTGAACTATGTGCAGCACAACCGCTGTGAGTGCCCTGCTTGCCCCCACGCCCATGAGTCCCCAGGAGCCCGCTTCCTGCCTCCTCCACAGTGCCATGTTCTTCCTCTGTTCAGTTTACCACGAGGAGCTCAATGCACCCATCCGAAGAAACAAAGAAGAACCCAAAGCCCGGCCCTTGCGAGTGGGTGACACAGAGAAGCCGGAGCCTGAGCGTGAGTACAGCCGTGGACAGCACAGCACTCAGGTGGCCCTGAAGGCACAGTCATGCTGGTCAGGCAGGGCAGTGCTCAGGCCCTGTGGACCAAGGCCTCTGATCTAGAACCCTGCTAAGGACCTTCCCCTTTCGAAACTGTGGGTCCTCCTGGATAACGTGACAAGTGTAGAGGCATGACAAGTATTGGTTGCTCTGAGGCCCCCCCCAGCTGGAAGCTAGTAGAGACTGGGTTTGAAAGTTTTGGTAAAGAAAAAGCAAAAGAATCCTCTTTGAGCTCCATGCTGGGGCTGCTGTTAGGTGTGACTCCAACCAATTTCTTGTCTTGAATAGCAGTATCTGCTGGTTCCACCATGACAGGCAACCTCTGTTCTCCTCAGGGTCCCCTCCCAACCGCAAGCGTCCTGCTAATGAGAAGGCCACGGATGACTACCACTATGAGAAGTTCAAGAAGATGAACAGGCGCTACTAAGGCAGCGGCAGGGGCTGGTAATGATGGGCATGCATGGGTGTGTGCAAGTGCACACACACACACATACACATACACACACACACACACATACACACACATACATACACACACAGACACACATACACACACGTATACACACAGACATACACACACACAGACATACACACACATACACACACACACACACACACACGCACACACACACACACGCGTCCTCTTGCATAGAACCTGCTTATTAGCTCTTGGAGTTCCCCATCACACAGTGCTTCTGCTCAGCTACTAGATTTCTGTCCTGGTTTTGGTTGGAGACTGTGGCTCCCTATGTGTCTTAGGACATGAACTCCCTCCTCCTCCCTACTACTGGGATTTTAGAGTCCCCCCACTCCTGGCTGGCATTTTCAAGCACTAACTTTGTAACTTCTGAAAGAAAACAATGTGTCTATGTCTATATTGTTTCCTACCTGGGGCAAACTATCCCCAAGAATGTTATTAAATTGCTTGTAAATATGTCACCTTTCTCCTAATGTCTGTCCAGGCTCAGGAAGAACTAGCTGTATTCACTGTGGTCAATACTGTTAACATGGGGGAGGGGAGAATGTTAAGATTCATTATTTTATGTATATGGGTATTTCGCCTTCATTTTGTCTATACCATCAGTGCATACAGTGCCCATAGAGGCCAGAAGAGGGTGTTAGCTATCTTGGAACTGAAATTATAGATGGTTGTGAGACACCATGTGTGTGCCAGGTCCTCTGGGAGAGCAGCTGCCTATGTTTCTAATGGCTGAGCCATCCAGCCTGCTTGCATTATATTTTGTGGTTGTATACATAGCCATGGCTTATTTGAAATGGAGTTGAGAAATACTTCTCTCTTTGATGGGTGTGGTGGTCCACGCCTTTAATCACAGCACTTGGGAGGCAGAGGTAGGTAGAACTCTTGACTTTGAGGCCATCCTTGTCTACAGTTTGAGTACCAGGACAGCCAGGCGAGACACTGTATCAGAAAAAAAGGAAAGGGAAGGGAAGGGGGGAGGGGAGGGGAAGGAAGGGGGAGGGAAGGGGGGAGGGAAGGGAGGGAGGGAGGGAGGGAGGGAGGAAGGAAGGAAGGAAGGAAGGAAGGAAGGAAGGAAGGAAGGAAGGAAGAGAAAAAAAATGCATCTGACCTGTTTAGAGAGTCCATTTCACAGCAGGAAAATGGAGGATGGGTTCAGAGACACTGGCATTCCCTGACTTTTATAGAACTACAAAGTTCTTTTGATTAAGAAGGAAAAGTAAAGGCAGGCAGATCTGAGTTTGAGGCCAGCCTAATCTACAGAACAAGTTCCAGGAGAGCCAGGGCTACACAGAGAAACTTTGTATTGAAAAACCAAAAGGGCCGGGCAGTGGTGGTGCACGCCTTTAATCCCAGCACTTGGGAGGCAGAGGCAGGCGGATTTCTGAGTTCGAGGCCAGCCCAGTCTACAAAGTGAGTTCCAGGACAGCCAGAACTACACAGAGAAACCCTATCTCGAAAAACCAAAAAAAAAAAAAAAAGATTCTTAAAAAGAAAAACCAAAAGGAAGAGCTTAGTATGGTTGCACAAGCGTTTAATCCCAAGGAAGGCCTCTGAGTTCCAGGAGGGCTACATAATGAGACCCTGCCTCGGAAGACAAGTGAATAAAGAGAACTTAGCTACAGACCGGGCCAAGCTGGAACATGTAGTTCCTACTACCCAGCTTTAAGCTCCAGGTGGACCTCAGTACCAGCTCTGCCCAGGCTTAGAAGAGCCCAGCCATAAGCTAAAGCATATCAAAAATAAACTAGTGTGTGTGTGTGTGTGTGTGTGTGTGTGTGTGTGTCTGTGTGTCTGTGTGTCTGTGTGTCTGTGTGTCTGTGTCTGTGTCTGTCATCTGAGGATCCAAGGGAACCTGGGTGAGGCTGGTAGCATGGTCTGTCCAGAGCGTAAAGCAGGAGAGTAGAAACTACACCTTACACCAAGCTTTCCTGTTAGCTGTGTATTTCCTTCAGTTATGGATTATTAAACCAATAGATAGTCTTTATCAGCTAGCCAGCAACTACTCTGAGTGTTTGGGATCTTAGTGTAGGCCCAAGCCTTTCTTAATGTGAGCTTTTAAGCACAAAAAAACATGTTCTGGATTCACATACTTAAATTAACAAGAGGAGTTAACTAGAAGCAGGGCTACAAAAGGCAAAAAGCAAGGTTAATACATTAGAAACTTTCCCAGGACTGTGGGTTTTGATGGAATAGGACTTTGTTTTCATTTTGGTGAGTGGTGCTGTTTTGCATCCTGAATGGTACTTCCATCATGGAGTCACTTGTGCTAAGGTCTGAATGTATGTGTGTGTGTGGGGGGGTCTGTTACACTTCCACTAGCAGGCTGGATTTTCAGATCTCAGGGTTAAGTATATGTCAGAGGAACACATGGGACCTCCTCACTGAGCAGGGTGCTTTCCTGTCAGTCCTAGGTTCAGCTCCTGTCACCACAGAAAACAGTTTGGTATTCATTCTCCACTTGGAGGGAGTTCAAGGACAAACAGGGTTTAAAAAATAAAAAGGGCGCACAGGCCAAGAAGATTTTGTACTTTTCCACCACCTTGCCCTTCTTACCCCCTCCCCTTGTAAAACATGCTATAAAAAAGCATTAAAAAAAAAAAGGAAAAAAAAAATAAAAATAAAAAGGGCTTGGGCATAGTGTCACACACATTTAATCCCTGTCTAGCAGAGGTGGGTGCAGATGGATCTCCATTAGTTCGAGGCCAGCCTGGTCTACAGAGCTAGTTCCAGGATGGATGGAGCTATACAGAGAAACCATGTGGGAGGGGGGCAGGGGGGCGGGGCAAGGAGAGACAAATCTTGCATACAGAATTCCAGTAAGTTTTTTTTTCTTTACTTTTTTGGGCCTAGGTGATCTTGCTAAGTAGTTGCGTGTGACCTTGAGTTTCTTATGCTACATTTGCCTTGAGTGCCGGGATTATAGTCAAGTGACTCGATGCCTGGCACAGGTGATTTCTGCAGACACTTTATCCTCAGCAAGATAGAGTGTAACTCCTCACCTAAGTGTGGGCCTTGCACACTGACTTCTTTCCAAAGACTCCAGTAAGATGAGAGAGGGTCCAGAGGGAATGTCACAGCAAGAGAACATATAAACATTTCTTTTCTTTCTTCTTTTCTTTTTTTATTCTTTTTTTTTTTTTTTCAAGACAGGGTTTCTCTGTATAGCTCTGGCTGTCCTGGAAGTCACTCGGTAGACCAGGCTGGCCTCGAACTCAGAATTCCGCCTGCCTCTGCCTCCCAAGTGCTGGGATTAAAGGCGTGCACCACCACCGCCCAGCAACATTTCTTGTGCTGATCAGTTTTTGTCAATTTGACACAAACCTAGACATACCTGGGAAGAGGAAAGCTCAACTGAGAGATTGCCTGCATCACTTTAGCCTGTGGGGCTTTTAATTATTGATTGGTGTGGTGGGCCCATTCTGCTGTGGGTGGTGCCACCCCTGGGCACGTGGACATGGGCTGTATAAGAAAGGTAGCTGAGGGTCTGGAGAGATGGCTTAGTGGTTGGGAGTACTGGTCTCCAGAGGACCTGGGTTCAGTTCCCAACATCTATATGGCAGCTCAACTGTTTGTAATTACAGTTGTAGAGGATACGATACCCTCATACAGAAAGAATGTAGACAAAACACTACTGCACAGAAAAGTGGCTGTGCATGCCAGAGAGAACAAGCCAGTAAGCAGGCTCTTCTTGAGTTTGGGCTCCCAAGCTTCTACCTTGAGTGTCTGCCTGGCTACCCATAATGATGGACTGTATCCCATGGGGTGAAATAAACCCTTTCCTCCTGTTAAGGGGCTTTTGGTCTTTGTGTTTATCACCATAACTGAAAGCAAATTAGGACTGTCTCAGCAGTCAAACAAAGTTTATATCAGCAATCAAACCAAGCTGACAGTGTGGCCCTGGGTAGGATGTGATGCAAATAGCACTTTACATTGGCAACCCCTTCCAGAACCCTAGTCTAATGATGAGAAAATGTCAAATTCCAATAAAAGGACAATCTGCAAATACTTTCAGAGAAGGGTATAGCTCAGTGGTACAGCTACATGCAAAGGGCCTAGGTTCAATCCCTAGGAATGACAACAACAAAAGGCCAGGCTTATGTCCCAGAACTAAAGAGGTTGAGGATCAAAAGTTCAAAACCAGCCTGTACTATGTAGCAAGTTGAAAGACAGTCGGGAGTAGTTCTGAAGATTTTAGCTTAAAGAGGCTGCAGAGATGGCTAACAGGTTAAGAGTGCCATTCTTGGCCGGGCGGTGGTGGTACACGCCTTTAATCCCAGCACTTGGGAGGCAGAGGCAGGTGGATTTCTGAGTTTGAGGTCAGCCTGGTCTACAGAGTGAGTTCCAGGACAGCCAGGACTACACAGAGAAACCCTGTCTCAAAAAAACAACAACAAAAAAAGAGTACCGTTCTTGTACAGGACCTGTAGCCTAGCTCCCATCCTCCACCAACCCTGCCCCCCTCCCCCCACCAACCCAAAGACATCTTAAAATGAAGCCAAACAAGAAATGGAAGGTCTGAGGCATAGCTCCATGCAGCATTTGCCTACAATGCATGAGGCCCTGGGTTTCATTCTCAAAACTCCCCTTCCCCGAGTGTCTAGTATTTCTCAAAACTCTCAAAGTCATTTAAAAAGCACCCAAGAGAAGCCAGGGAGTCGGCACTGTGGGGAGCTCAATGTGTTCCTTGTTAGTGATAATTTATAAATTTTGTAATTTTCTCTTAACCTGACTAGCTTCCAGATAACTGAGATAGGTCTATTTTATTTAATTTAACAGCTTTAAGGAACAACAACTGAGCAGTATTAATCTATTTTAACCCTCTAATCTGACTACTTCTCAGCCAAAATCCCTGAGATACGTATATTTTGTGGCTTTCTCTGCTCTGTGGGTTTTTTTTGTTTTGTTTATTTGTTTTTGTTTTTTATGATTATGATGTCTCCTGGATTCCCCCACTGCCTCCCTTTCTCCTGCTCTGTCATTGGCTGATCAGCCCTTTATTGGCCAATCAGGCAGGGAATGATAACACTGGTCATGAATTTTAACAAGTGTAGTATACAGATGCCATTTCTTTTTTTTCCTTTTCTTTTTCTTTTTTTTTGAGATGTCTCACTGGGTAGCCCTGGCTGCTCCTAGAATTTCTTGTCTAGGAGAGGGTGGCCTCCAACTCAGACATCCACCTGCCTCTTCCTCCCAGAGTGCTGGGATTAAAGGTGTGTGCTACAATACTCAGCCCTCAAATGTCAGGTTTTTGTTTGTTTTGTTTTGTTTTTTTAAAGACTAGATCCAATATGCAGTTTTGATATGCTTGAAACTTTATAGACTGGCCTCAAACTCATACAGCTCCACCTTCCTCAGGTTCCTGAGTGTTGGGATTAAAGGTGCACACCACCCACTGCACCTGGACCAAATGTCAGATTTGATAACAGGGAGACAAGTTGGGGAAGTCAAATGGAAACCCGCTATATTATCCTCACATTTTAAAAAGTATTCATTTACGTGTTAATTTATGGATGTGTGTATGCCTACAAGTTTGTAAGTGCCACATGCACGTAGATGCCTGCATCATTTTTTAAAAATGGTTCTAAAACACTGTTATTTGACGGGGATGGGGAAACAATCACCATCACCTGAGTCTTATAACCTCAATATTAGTCCTATAATGTCAAGGTTCAGAAGCAGAAAAAACTTTGCCCTTAACAAAGATGGTAGGCGCCAGCGTCGAAAGACATAGCCTGCCCCGGACAAAGAGGGCGGCCCCGCCGGCAGGAACCGGAAACACGAGTCTGGGCGGTCCGCGGGGCACGGTGGGCACTGGGTCGCGCAAGGTGCGCGGGTCCGGGTATGAAGCTGGGCCGGGCCGCTCTGGCCCTGCTACTGCTGGCGCCTTGCGTGGTTCGTGCGGTGGAGCCCATCAGCCTGGGTCTGGCCCTGGCCGGAGTACTCACCGGCTATATCTCCTACCCTCGCCTCTACTGCCTCTTCGCCGAGTGCTGCGGCCAGAAGCGGAGCCTCAGCCGGGAGGGTAGGCGGGCACCAGGCGACCGGGATGCTGCGGCAGGGGGATGGCGCCGCGGCCTAGCCAGACTTTGGTCCGAGGGCTGAGAGATGAGTGGTCGGGCCGGAGGCAGGGTGTCAGCGCTGCGCGGAGCTCACTGGGGCAGCCTCACGGCACCTCTTCCGCTTGGCTTTGGGGCGCAGCCGGGCAGCAGCCCGAAACGTCCCAAGGCCAACCCCTAGGAAGGGCAGAGTTCGCAGCACTGGGGTCCTTCCGCGCTCTCCAGATCAGGCTCCGCGGGCCCTGACAGCCTGGGAATGAGGCTGCATTTTGCCAGCTTATTCCTCTCCTGACCAGAGTGATCTTTCCTTTCTCAGCGCTGCAGAAGGATCTGGATAACAAGCTCTTTGGACAGCATCTTGCAAAAAAAGTCATCTTAAACGCCGTGTCTGGTTTCCTAAGCAACCCGAGGCCCAAGAAGCCCCTTACTCTATCCCTGCACGGGTGGACAGGCACCGGCAAAAACTTCGCCAGCAAGATCATCGCAGAGAATATTTACGAGGGTGGACTGAACAGTGACTATGTACACCTGTTTGTGGCCACGCTACACTTCCCCCACGCCTCTAACATCACCCTGTATAAGGCAAGAGCATTAATTGGCCTCCTTCGTGGATGACCCGAGATTGGGGTTTCTCTGTTGTGGGGTGGGATGTGGGAATTCCACGTCAGTGAGCGAGCCTCAATATGGCTCTGTATGTCAGTTCCTCTTTAAAAGGTGTGCACAGAACGGGCCGTGGTCATATCCGTTGGAGGAATGACAGCTATGGATAGTATAGCCTGTGCACTGCGTTTTGAAGGGAACTATCAAGGGCTTGGGGTGGCTCAGGGTAGAGCACTTGGCCAGAATGTGCCAAGTTCTGGATTAAGTATCTCCACCCCAACTCCCACTCCACCCCCTGTGGCAAAGGTGCGGGGGGTTGGGGGGGTTAGGTACGTATGTTACAAAAGGTTTGACCATCAACGTTTTATGAGTGACCTCTGTGTAACAACTTGGCTGTGGAAGTGGGGACATAATCAACTCCAGGGTCTTTAGGAGTCACCCCCTTCTATTGTGAAAAGGAAACCTAGAGAGCCAAGATTGCTTTGACTCAGCTGTTGCAACCTGCTATTGGAGTTTCATTCTGATGACAGGCTCACACCTGAATTCAGGATCTGTCCCTCCCTTCCTACAGCTGTGCAGTTGGGGCTGTCACCTAACCGAGAAAGGGACACTGTTTTAGCATGATGCTTCGCCCTCACCTGTGTTCACACACTCCCCTTTCTGTTAATCATCATTGTCGCTGTAACTGTGTGGCTTTGTGCGGGTTGTTTAGGTGTTTAATCTCAGGGCCTGAGGTCAGCTGGGTGTTTTCCTACACACCTGTATTCCCAGCAGGCTGAGGCAGGAGAATCATACATTTGAGGTTACTCTGGGCTACATAGAAAGCTTCTGTTTGAAAACAGAAATGGAGAGGATGGCAGGTGGAGGAAGAAAAGAAAATAGGGCCCAGTATCATTTCCTCAGTGGCTTTGGGGAGGAGATACAAAATGTTCCATGAACAGTGTCTGGAATGGTGTCTTGTCTCTCTGCAATGGGCGCTTGCACACAGTCTGTTATTCTGATAGATTGAGGCAGAACACTGGGCAAACCTTCTCTGTTGGGTCCTAACAACTGAGTGAGTTGCATGGAAATGTTCTCTTGCCACAGAGTGTTTAGCCAGCCACTTCAGGTCTCTGAAGGTTCCTCTACGGCAGTTTCTCAACCTTCCTAATGCTGTGACCCTTTAATTCAGTTCCTCATAAAATGATTTCGTTGTTACTTCATAACTGTTATTTTGCTGTTATGAATCTTACTGTAAACATCTGACATGCAGGTAGCTGATAAGTGCAACCCAGGGGTCTCGACCCACAGGTTGAGAACCACTGCTGGAAGGGCCGGCGCGCCAACCCTGCAGAGTTGCTGCTTACATTAGATACAAATGGAAAACTGTAACCAGGTCATGACCAATGGAAAAACCCCAAGCAGATGTACAATGTCACTGCTGGTGTGTCCTTCAGGAAGATACATCCCTGCCTTCCCTAACTCACTTGAGGAGGAGGGTGGGTGGGTGGAAATACCTACATGTTAGGTAGAATTTGGGCTGAGTTTTCTGAGGAAGATGCTTTAAGAGGTCAATGTGTGTCCCCTTGATGGCTTAGCGTGTAAGCACCTGACTGGGGTTTGTTAGGGGCTGGCTCAGGGTGACTGAGGCTCTGATTTCATTCTTTACCATCTGCCCCACTAAACAACCAAGTACAAAGAAGGTGGGTTTGTTTGTTTGCTTTGTTTTGAGACAGCTGCCCATGTGTTCATTGTTACATATGATTATTAGCATTATTATTTTTGTTTGGTTTGGTTTTTAATTTTGTGTTTGTGTGTGCTTGTGAGCATGTGTGTTCATGGAGGCCATAGGTCTGTCTCCAAATGCATTCAGAGAGTGTTCCTGATCTGGAAAGCCTTGTCACACCCCTCCCAGAGTGCTGAGCGTTCAAGTTCAGACCCCCTAAGGGAAGCCTTGTGCAGTGCTTTCCCACTGTGATTGAGTCTGCTTCTCCAGACTGGACTGCTGAGGAAGGGCTGAGGTGATGGTGGGTTTCTGCCTCTCATCCACAGGCTGTCATGCACAGAATATATGTGACATTGCCATTGTGAGGACAGAGCCAGTGCCTGGCTGATACAGCCTCAGTGTGATTGCAGCATAAGGGTCCCCGCCCTGCCCCAGCCTAATTACATTAGGCGATCTGCTAAAGCACTCTGTACCTCAGGGTCCTTGCCTGTGGCATGAGAATGATGCTGTGCATACAGGAAGTGCTTGTGAGGCCAATGGTGTATGTGTGTAATGCTCACAGCACCACGATCCAGAAGCACAGCCATTGTCTTGAGGGGCTAAAGTTCTTCTGAGGGTCTGGGGCTTGCTTAGCACTAGTGAGGCTCTGGGTAAAACTGTGCAAAAACAAAGAAACCCAAAGCTGATAGAACTGTCCCCACTGAGAGCTCAGAATTATAGAGGGAGTCTTTTCTACAATGTGTAGAAGCAGTCACCTGTCAAAAAGAAAAGCTGATTGGCCAATGAGCTGAGGCAGGATTAAGGAGGTGGGACATCGGCAGAGATAGAGTTGGAAGCATGGGAAATTCGCCCCAGACCACAGATGGAGATGGATACATGAAACTGAAGGAGAGGTAACTTGCCATGTGGCACTCACAGAATAAAATAAAGCAGTTATTGAGATATGAACTAATTGGGGAACAGAGCCAAAGCTCTGGGACCGGGTGTGTCTTCATCTATACTTCAGTCTTAGAGTCATTATTTCAGAGAACTTGGGCATCGGTGGCAAAGCCCGAGGTTACACTGAACGGGCTCCCTTGTCCTTCAGGACCAGTTACAGATGTGGATTCGAGGCAACGTGAGCGCCTGTGCTCGCTCCATCTTCATCTTTGACGAGATGGACAAGATGCATGCTGGCCTCATTGATGCCATCAAGCCTTTCCTAGACTATTACGATGTGGTGGATGAGGTCTCCTATCAGAAGGCCATCTTCATCTTCCTCAGGTGAGGCTGTGGCTAGGACATGGCGGGAGCCACTCGAGCTGGGGGCTTTGGGAAGAAGTGCAGTCTCTCCTCACTGCAATTGTTTCGGCAGCAATGCAGGGGCAGAAAGGATCACAGATGTGGCTCTGGATTTCTGGAAGAGTGGGAAGCAGAGGGAAGAAATCAAACTCAGAGACATGGAGCATGTCCTGTCCGTGTCGGTCTTCAATAACAAAAACAGTAAGTATGGCTGTTTTTTGTGAGTCCAACCCCCTAACTGCATACCCTTAGTGGTCCCTGGACCCAGCAGAATCCCTGAGTGACATCTGTTAATGAGCTGCAGGAGCCTTTATAGATGAATTGGTTAAGACAGGGTTTACTCTCCATTCCTTTAGAGGAAGAGCAGGCAGTTGAGGCAGAAGGCCACTGTAGATGGCCGCAGGGAGGGTGGTAACTGGAAGGGCCTCTCCCTTTGCAATGTCCTAGAACTCTGCCCATGGGCTTTCCCTCTGGGACAGACACTTGACCCGACCGTTGACTCAGTCTGTTCCCTTGTTGGGTAGATCGCTGCCTGTTGTCTGTTTCTTACAGAGCACACAGGCTCAGGGAAGGAGCTTGCACAGTACCAGGCAGCCCGTACTCAGCTTTTGACTTTGAGCTCAGCTGCTTCTCCAGCTACTGTCATGCAGACCTTTGACCTTGAACCCTAAGAGGCAGACAGCGGAGAGTGACTCACTGGTTATCTCACCAGGTCTTTGAGGTGACAAAAGGCTACAGGCCCCGCCAGAAACACACTCACCAAGAAATCTGCTTTGAAGTTAGGTGACTAGCATAGTGTGTTCTGTACTCCTGTGCAGATGGAATACTACTAAAATAAGACTTGAAAAGTCTCTCTTGAAGCTAAAAAGATGACAGGAAATGCAGACCGATGGCGAAGCAGTCCATCAGAACACTGTGTGTGTGTGTGTGGTTTGCTTGTGTGTCCAAGGTGGGAGGACCTCCTATGGGGCTGTGGCGGGGATGAGAGACAGGTGAGACATCTCTCACAGTTTGACAGTAGTGCTGGGTTGGACAACGAGAAGAACAGTCTGGAGCAGGGGCGGGGGGGGTTGTGGGGGGGTGGGGGGAGGCATATGTGTTGGGCCACCCTGGAAGGAGACATTTACTTGAGGACACATTTCTCAGTTGGCAGTATATGGGTGGTTTTACTTTTATGTAGTTCACACTCAAACCCAGGGCTCTGCACATGCCAGCTAAGTGCCCTACCACCAGCCTGGTGTTTTAAGGTCATGTGATCATCGGAAGTCACGTGCTGAGCACCGAGCTGCTGAGTGCTTGGTGGGTCAGATGGTCAGAATCTCATCATTCAGGCTGTGCTCAGGAACACCTGCCCAGCCAGGCAGATGCCCAGCTACATCCCACGGTTCTTTGTGCATCTAGCACAGGGTAGGTCTTCAAGACAGAAGGTACACTGGTGACTGCTCCAGTCAGGTTGTTCTTTGCTGTAGCCACAGGTCCTCCCCCAAGTACAGAGCACCTACCGTTTGGAGAACACATTGGGCTATCAGCACAGCTTGCATTGGGAGCCAGAGCAGAAGGATTAACAGGCTAAGCAGGACATCAAAGCATGTCAGGGGCTCTTTAGGGCAGTTCTACAGATGCTGATGTTCCCAGGAGGCTAAGCCATGCAGAACCAGGCTTTTTAGGGAAGATGTTGTCAGAGTCCAGACCCATGAGGTGCACAGCCTTGTTGGCATGTCTTACTACCCAGGGGAGTCCAGGTGTCGCTTCCAGAATGCTCTGCATAGTTTAGGCACTGGCAGGCAGCAGCTGTGGATCCCTTCTAGCCTGTGGCTAGTACTCCCTTACCTCTTTCCAAACCTCTTCCAACCTGTCCATCAGCTTCTTCCCACACTGCCTGGGTCCCAGCACACAGTATGGCACGTGGCCCTCTAGTCTGCCTCCCATCTCTAAGGCACACTGGAGAGGCCTTTCCAAGCCCAGAGCTCTAAAGTGTCTGTTTTAAAGCTTTTTTGTATTTTTCATTTCTTTGTGCCCCCCCTCTCTGAGTGTGTGTGTGTGTGTGTGTGTGTGTGCGCACGCGTGTGCGTGTGTCCAGAGAGGGTTTTGCATCCCTGGACCCAGAGTTGCACATGGTTGTGAGCAACCTGAGGAGTACTGGGACCCAACTCAGGTCCTCTCCAATGAACAACAAGTGTTCATGTTGTTTTGTTTTTGTATAACAAGAGTTTCTCTGTGTAGCCCTGGCTGTCCTGGAACTCACTCTGTAGCAGGCAGGCCTCGAACTCAGATCCACTTGCCTCTGCCTCGGGAGTGCTGGGATTAAAGGTGTGCACTGTTAAAGTCTTTTTTCACTAATGAACCCCAGAGGTGTCCCCTTATGTCACAGCTGCAACCCAAGACAGTGTTCATAGGCAGTTCTCAGCTCCTGTCTCTCCCTCACTGTATGGAGATGGGTAATGTGGTGTGTGCTCCCCCAGCTCTATCTCAAAAGCTGGCCCCCAGTGAACACCTGGTAGTTATTCTGTTGGGACCGATCAGTATTACATGGTACCTCTCTGTCCTTCCCAGGTGGCTTCTGGCACAGCAGCCTCATTGACCGGAACCTCATAGATTATTTTGTCCCCTTCCTGCCCCTGGAGTACAAGCACCTGAAAATGTGCATCAGAGTTGAGATGCAGTCCCGTGGCTATGAAGTGGATGAGGACATTATCAGCAAGGTAGCTGAAGAGATGACGTTCTTCCCCAAGGAGGAGAAGGTCTTCTCTGACAAGGGCTGCAAGACTGTGTTCACCAAGCTGGACTACTACCTGGACGACTGAGCCCTACTGCCCAGTGCTCAGTAGGTCCTCTCCTCTTCCCAGAAGAGGCTTGGACACTGCCTGCTGAGGTTAACAGGGGTCCCGTCAGGGATGGTTTCTGCTCCTCAGAGCCTGCAGGTGACCATGCTGTAGGGACCACAGATGCAACACGGACCTGAAGCTCCTGGAGCCTCCGGAGGATGAAACTAGCTCCCAGCCTGCCCATTCTGGGCTCATGATTTTTTAAAATTATGTTTTAATTTCAGATGTTTTTGTTTTGAGGCAGGACAAGTAAGTTTTACTGCAAATGTGATAACTTTATTTAAAATGGTTTTTAATACTATGAGAAGCCTTTCAGCTGTTGGCTTTGTGTGTCTTTTGAAACGGTTGGATGACATTACCAGTGTTTCTACTGCAGAAACCCAGGCAAGGACATCTGCTGCATGGAATGGTAGCTCAGAACAAGGGGACTGAAGGCAGCCCTGCAAGGGGCCATGCAGTGGTCAGATGAGGCTGGACCACAGATGTGCCTATGCTCTTCCCTGGACTCCTTAGTAATAAGACAGGTGAACTTAATGACCCTGCATGATGGTCAGGTCCACTCCAGATGCCCAGGCATGACAGCTCTGGATAGGCTTGTCTTAGGTAACACAAGCGCCTGCCAAGGGGCAGGGCTCCTGTAGGTGTGGTTGTCGGTCACGGCCCTGACAGAGCTGGGTTTAGCAGGGAAAAAAGGGCCTGACATCAAAACTAGGTCAGCCACTGGCAGGACCCCGATCTGCCTCTGCTACCAGCCTGTTCAAGGCCCCTTTTCAGGTGGCCTAGGGCTCCCAATGATGGTTCAAGTCCCCAGAAGTCATGTCAGGTCTGCCCAGTCACTTGAAGATGGAGCCCTAACTGCGGAGCATGGGTTCCTCTGTCCTACTGACTTCTGACAGTTGTCATGTGTGACAGTTGTAGATGTGGCAGCATGGGACAGGCGGGTACTATATCAGGTCCTAGACACCAGCTAACAAACCAAGGGAGAGGCAGTATATGGGTGCAGGGACTTACCCTTCCAGACTACTCTGCCCTGTGACAGCCATGTATCAATACTGCGGAGAAGCGGGGTTAGTGCAGTTATGGTGAGATCTGGCCAACAGACAGAACTAGGATCAGGTTCTCTGTCAGTTCTGAGCAGGAAGATCAAGCAACTCAGTCTCTCAGCAGTGGCCAGGGATCAGACCCTGATAAAAAGGCATCTCTGAGTAGGAAAGCTCGCCACAGCATCCAGACCACCACACACCATGCAAGGCACTGAATGTGAGGCCCAGTGCAGGGTCCAGAGCCAGAGGCCAGGTTTCTGATCCAGACCCAGCAGTTGTGGAGAGCTCACTATTAGGAGGATGTTATGTGGTAGAAAGCCTGCCTCTGGTAGCTCCCTAGTGCTTGCTCACCAGCCTGTCTAGCTGGCTGAGCTCCAGAGGCTGGTCGGAAGGTAAAGAACCAAAGTGCCCAAGTCAGCATGTGTATTCATGTAATTGCCTGCCCCTCGTGTATGTGAGCACCACACAGAAAAAGCCCTTCCTTACCTGATGAAGCTCTCCAGCACTGAGAAAGCCTCCTCCTATGTTTGTGGGTAGCAGCATTTAAAGCCAATTTGATTTTTGTGTGTTGGCATCAACCTGCACATCCAGTATGGAAGGCAAGCAATACATGCACAGGCCACTCCAGAGCCTCGATTCTGACCTCGGTTTGCTACCACTCAGGCAAGAAGAAAACTTAGGGAAGTGATGTCTCACAATGCACCACTGTCTTTATTATTTTGTATCCAGTTCTGTGCATGTCTTCTTCCAGGTAGGCTGGGGAGGCTGGGGCAGGCCACAGCAGGCCTTTTGAAGTTGGAGATCAGTAACAGCAGTCCAAAGGTGGCCAAAAACATGTCCACGTGTTACATCATTGTAAACAGAAAAGCTTGTTTCTTCTTGACAGGGAGCCCAGCAGGTTAGAAACAGTAACTTGGCTCCAGTCCAAGAATATGGCACAAAAGTCAGCCTCACCTCAAGTTTCTGTTTGCTTCCTGCTTTGAGACAAGGTCTTTGTACGAAGCTCAGCTAAACTCCTCTTCCTAAGTGCTAGGATTACAGGCATGCACACCACTGGCCTGGTATTCACTTGTGTGGCCTAGGCTGACCTCAAACTTGAGACAGTCTTGCCATGGCCTCCTAGGTACTAGGACTACAGGTGAGCACCACCACACCCAGATCATCATGGCATTTCTAAAAGACTAGATAGATGTGATTCTCTGTAAGGCATTTCCGTGTTATAAAAATAGTCACTCTGCCACATTGTATACAAACACGGCAGTGTGTCTGTCTGCAGCTGCATGGCCACTCTGGGACAGAATGGTTCACAAAGATGGAATTGCAGGCTCAGCTCCCTGCAGTCAGATCAGCCCAAGGCATCATCCTGAGATTATACCCAGAACCCACAAACTGAGGACTCTAGGATCTAAAGTTGTGCTAGTATATTTCTACTCTCTACACAGTTTGTAATAAAACCTTTTTTTTTCTTTTGAGAAAAGAAACTCAGAAATGTAACTCAGGCTGTTCTCAAACTCAAAAGATACCTGAGGAATCCTGGATCCTGATCTTTCTGATGGGATCATGGGTATTATACCTCCATACCCAACAACAATAAAAACCTGAGGATCAGCCTTATTCTAAGTTATGTCCTTCCAAGTTTTTTTTTTTTTTTTTTTCCGAGACAGGGTTTCTCTGTGCAGCCCTGGCTGTCCTGGAACTCACTCTGTAGACCAGGCTGGCCTCGAACTCAGAAATCCGCCTGTCTCTGCCTCCCAAGTGCTGGGATTAAAGGCGTGCGCCACCATCGCCCGGCTCAGATTTTTTTTTTTTTAAAAAAAAGGCTTCTCTGTGTAGTCTTGGCTCACTCAGTAGACCAGGCTGGGCTCGAACTCCCAGAGATCCACCTGCCTCTGCCTCCCAAGTGCTGGGATTAAAGGCGTGCACCTGCATTCGTGGCACTTCCTAGGTTTTAAAATGTTTGACATCTTACATTTATTACCTAAGCTTTAGAAGTAAAAACATAAATTTTAAATATGTGCGTGTCCAAAAACAAAGAAACAAAACAAAAAAAACCCCCCCAAAACCTGGCATCTCTAGTGTGCGGCAGACACATTCCAACCCCATGGCCAGGTCAGCCCCAGACTAGAGCTTCTCTTCCTATGCATGTTCTGCAAATCAGAACTTGACCTTCAGAGCAAGTGTAACAGGCAAGCAGGGACCAAAGACTTCCCTCAAAAATGACAGCTCATCCTGATGCAAGCAAGCATGAGGCTGGGGTGAATCTAACAGTTGATAGGGAAGGTGCAAGGCAGGCTGTGACCCCACACAGTGGGAGACAGGAGAGAGAATTCCACAGCCAGGGCTGTGAGCAGCAGCGAACATAAGGTATAAACTCAAAGGCTCTGTGTGTCCCAGTGTGCTCCAGGGGCCTCAGAGGGAGGCCCACTACTCATGCTGACAGTTCAGCCAAGGTCAAGCCCACATGCTCCCCTCCAATATCGAGCACCTGTCAGTGCCACCAGCTTCTGAAAACTGTGAGTACCAGCTCAAGGCAAAAAAACAAAACAAAAAACCAGCACAGTGGGAACTCTTGGCAGGAAACCCTGCTTCCCCGAAGATGCTGCCCCTGCAGGCCCATTAGTGGCATCTGAGGCATGGGTGCTATTGGCCACACAGGACCTTTGGCCTGCATTCAGACGTTCTTTAGGCACTTGATTCACAGTAACAGTGTGAGAGTTGTAAAAGTTCATCTTCAGATGCTGCACTGACAGCATCCCAAGTCCACAGGTGCAAATGTGCAAAGCCCCAAAGCTTCAAAGTGCTTCTCCATGGCAGGGCCCTGGTGGAGGTGGGAAGCTCCCCTGGGCGAAGAGCTCAGTGGAAATCCAGCCGTGACTGCACGGTCTTACAGCCCTTGTCCGAGTAGATCTTCTCATCCTTGGGGAAGAAGGTCATTTCATCTGCCACACTGGTGACGATATCCTCATCGACAGCAGCCCCTCGGGCCCTCATCTCCGCCCGCACGCACATCTTCACGTGTTTGTACTCCAAGGGCAGGAAGGGGATAAAGTAGTCGATGAGGTTTCTGTCTATCAGCCCGCTGTGCCACAGGCCACCTGCAGAACAAGACACAGTGGGTCTCTTGTCACTGCCGCTTAGCCATATCCCATCCTTCATGCCTTCACCCTTTCAGAGCCTCTCTGTCAAGTGACATGTGGCCTCATACCCCAAGAAATCTCCCTACAGCAGCAAAGCCATAAGCACGAGTGTCGCTGGCTTCGTAAGACACACTGCTGAGAATCCGCTCAATGCCAGCAGAGCACTGGGTTCCCCCGTTCTGTAGTGGACTCACTGTGCTTGTTGTTGAAGACACCCACAGACAGCACAGGCTCTAGGTCCTTCAGCTGGATCTCCTCCCTTTTTCTTCCTGCCCGCCAGAAGTCCAGGGCCGTCTTAGTTATCAGGTCCCCTCCTGCATTGCTGAGTTGGCCAGAGATTCAAAGACCAATATCACATGTGAATAACACCCGCCCAAGGCTTTATTCCTTTTCATTGCTAGAACTGACCATGGGGTCCTGTGCCTGGTAAGCAGGTGCCACTGTGACACTCCAGCTTCTAGGGGTGTTACATTTCTAGTCTTACAAAGCTTTTAAGTCAGGACTATTTGCAGTGTGCTACCAGACAAGGACAAAAAGATTGTCCGCCTGCAAGGAATGCGAATGCAGTGTTTAGAACTCAGAGTGGCTGACAGGGGCACGAGTGAGCAAGCGAGCACCACTCTGGCTCATCCCCAACTCCCTTTCTATGCTAGAGTGACACAGGGAAGTGAGAAATGACAAGTGGGCCTATGGCTTTGCCAAGCTGGCATGTCTGTCCCGGAGGGCCAGGAGAACCTCGTTCTAGCACTTGGAGGTCCCTGAGAAGCCTCGTTGGCTGACCTGAGGAAGATGAAGATGGCTTTGCGATAGGAAATCCCATCCACCTGCTCATAGTAGTCCAGGAAGGGCTTGATTGCATCAATGATCCCAGGATGCAACTTATCCATCTCATCGAAGATGAAGACCGAGCTGCCACACGCACTCACATTGCCTCGGATCCACTTCTGGAGCTGGTCCTAGACCAACCTCAAAGAGAGACGCAGCTCAGAGGATTTTCCAGAGGATGAGGGGAGGAGCTGCCCGGGCCTTGGGAAGCCACCGACTTGTCCTCTCCCTACACAGCAGAGGACACTCCCCCAACTCTGTCACAAGTGGACAGGTGCTACCCACTGAAGCCTGGCCACCTGAGGTCAATCCCTAGGACCCAAATGGCTAAAGGAGAGAACCGACTTCCAAAAGCCACCGCTGACCTCCGCATACAGGCCCAAACAAGGTGAAGAAGAACCCGAGTAGCTTCTGTCAAGATGTTTTATCACAGCAACAAGAAAAGAAACCGAGACACCAGACACACAGAAATGACAACTGGATTCAGATCTGCACGACGCCGGGGACCAAGGCTCTGGACTGACGCAGTGAGTAAAGATACTGTCCCAGCTGGCACGAAAAGCCCTGAGCTCCATCCCTACCCCCTTGCTTTAGTGAAACACCCAAGCAACAACTTCTCATCCCCTAAGAGGGACTGGCCACAACTATGGACTTCCCACTGCAAATACTGTATTTCAAGAGCTCTATAGTAAAATCTGGAAAACATGAACATCACTTCGTGGTGGGGACTGTAGCTTGGTGGCACAGCACTTCCTCGGCACCTTCAAATAAACCCGACCTTCCTTCTGGCACTCCTCCCTGCCTTACAACAGACTCGGTTTCATTTCTTTCTTCGACTGGGTTTCTGTTTGCTAGCTCCATCCAGTAGGAGGCCTAGCACCAACAAGCAAAACAGTCATTTACGTCAGAATCAACGGATGAAATATGCAGAGATCTCACAAGGAGAAAACAGTCTGGAGCTCTGCTTCTGTGAAACAAAACCCAGGCCGCAGCAGAGGTGGCAAGTTTTAGAGACAAGTCATCTTGCCTCTCTTCTCTCACTCCAGTCCCCTTCTCCCTCCCCCTAGTCCCAGGAATTGAACAATGCCCCCCAACACACACACTAGCTGCCTCCATGTTTTAATGTTCATAGCATCCTCTACCTCACTGGATTATTTTGGCATAACAATTTTAAAAAAGAGAAGGCGGGGCACACTAAGGCACACCTATAATCCCAGCACTTGGAAGGTGAAGGTAGGCTGGTCAAAAGTTCAAGGCCAGCCTCTGCTATTTAGTGAATAAGCACATGCCATAAGATGGGCAGAGTGACAGATGCCTGATAATCTCAATCCTCAGAAAGATGGATCACTAACACCAAAGCCAACCTGGGCTACACAAGGAGGCCTTGACTCAAAAAAGTGTAAATAAAGAGAGGCTAGGGATTTAATCCCAGCCCTGGAAGGCAGAGGCAAGCGGACCTCTGTGAGTTCCAGGCTTGCCAGATCTATACGGTAAAACTCAGTCAACAAATAAATAGCACAAAGCAAAGCAAAGAAGCCAGAGCTATTTCAAGGCAGAGAAAGAGAAGCAGAGGCCAGAGCTACTGAGCAGGTACCCCAGGCATATGATCAGAGAGCAGTGGGTTTTCTTGCCTGGTACAGTTTTATCTTCTGCTCATGAGGGAAGTGCAGAGTAGAGACGAACAGGTGGACAAAGTTACTCTTCAGGCCTTTTGGATAAAGGTTTTCAGCCACAATCTGGCTGACAAAATTCTTGCCCGTGCCAGCCCAGCCGTGCAAGGACAGAGTCAGTGGTTTCTTGGGATTTTTGTTGTTCCTGAAGCCAGTCAATGCCTTGAGAATCACTTCGGTGGCAAGGTGCTGTCCAAACAGCTTCTCTTCCAAGTCCAGCTTGAGGGCTGCGGAGGTCCGCCCCGGAACAGAGAGAAAACATACATTTAAAAAAGTACCTGAAACTGGTCAGAGGCACAGTTAGCGACTGATCCAGCAGGGAGTCCTTGCCAAGCGTCAGAGCCAGAACCATAAGGATCTACGGTCAGATCGTTAAGTAGCAGTTCTCCTAAACATCTAAGTGTCAAACAAGCTACACAGATTCATTTATCCAGGGAAGAAGCATCTCGCGGCCGTGCTCCGGGCTAGCTTTCCCGCCACCCCTGATGGCTCGGGGGAAAAAAAAACCAGCAAGAGCCAAAGGCGGGCTTTTTGGATGGAGCTGCATGCCTGACACCCACTGACGGGGCGCAGCCGCCGGCCCCTAAGCGTTCAGTTCTCAAGGCGGTCGTCCCAAGGCCTGCGAAGGTGTGGCGAGGTCCCAGCGGCGTCAGTCTCCCGCGGCGCCGCATCCAGATGGAGTGGGAGCGGAGCTCCCAGCGCCCTCCCTTCCGCCCGCCCCGACCGGCCCGCGGGCACATACCGGATGTGTTGAGGGGCCGGTCCTCGTGGCAGCACTCGGTGAAGCGGCAGTAAAAGTCGGTATAGGACAGGTAGCCGGTGAGCGCCGACACAGCCCCGATGGCGATGCCCACGCTCACGGGCTCAAACGCCGCCGCCACGTGGGCGGTCAGCAGCGCCCACAGGGCTGTGGAGCCCCCAAACACCCCGATTTGTCTCATCGCACGCAACGAAGCTCACTGCCCCTGCGCTCGGAGCGCGGGATCCAGCCCCAGCGGAGCAGCGGACCCTATTTCCGGTACGGCGCTGTCACTTCCGCTTAGCCAGAAAGCCGCCTTGTTGGAAAGGGGCGGGGAGACTATAGGCGCCATCCTTGTGAGTGTCAGGAAACCCTCCAGAGACTATTAAAGGAATTTCAGTCCTATCTTTTAGAGATCTTGTTCCTTTGATGTTTATTATACAAACACTCACGATTATATGTATATATGAGATGGGGTGGGGGACGGGAGAGGGAGGGGGAATGTAGGGATGGATCAGTTGTTAGAAGCACTGACTTGCGCTTTCTGAGGACTTGGGTTCAGTTTCCAGCACCCACATCCCTTTTCTGTAATGGTCTCTAACAAGTTGCAGGGGCTCTGCCACCCTCTTCTGGACTCTGTAAGCATTGCACACACATGGTGCACAGGCATACATGCAGGGAAAACAATCATACACACAAAATAATAAAATTATTGGAAAAATATACACACATAAAAATCAAAAGCCAGATTGGGCTCCCAGCATCCACATCTGGTGGCTAATAACTGCCTATACCTCCAGACATCCTCTTCTGAGCTTTGCGGACACCTCCACATATACGGTGCCTATACATAAGCTCAGGCATGCACATACATAAAAAAATAAATAAGGGGGCTGGAGAGATGGCTCAGAAGTTAAGAACATCGACTGCTCTTCCAGAGGTCCTGAGTTCAATTCCCAGCAACCACATGGTGGCTCACAACCATCTGTAATGAGATCTGATGCCCTCTTCTGGTGTGTCTGAAGAGAGCAATGGTGGTGTACGCATATGTATAAAATAAATAAATCTTTTTAAAAATAATAATAATAAATAAAATCATCCTCATAATAGCAACAATAATAATGTGTGTTTGTGGCGAGAGAGAACGTGTGTGTGTGTGTGTGTGTGTGTGTAAAACTTGGAGTTAGGGTTGTGGTCACTGTCTGGAGGGGTGGGTGTTACAGAACAGTACTTGGCCATCCCACCCAGAGTTTACTATGGGTGCTGGGAACTCCACCTCCAGTCCCTGTGCCTGTACAGCAAGGGCTCTTACCCAGCACAGCCACCTCTACAGACCTTCTTTTTCTCCCCTTTTCTTTTCTTCTTCAGCAACTACTCTACCACTAAACTACACTCACAACTCTTAGAGCCTTTTTAAGAGCCTCTTAGAACCCCAAACTTGCCTTTTCTCATTTTACTTGGGCTGTGATGAGCGCTCCTCAGATCTGCTAACCCCTGCCTTCCTGAACAGCTACTGAGTCCTCTTGATGCTAGGCTCCAGGCTGAGCACTGGGGACATAGAGACACCCAGGCCCTAGGCTACCTGCTAGGAAGACAGCAGTGGAGCAGACAGAGTTGGTCCTGCCTTTCAGGACATACAGGCTATGGGGGAGACAGGCAAGGGGACAAGGACTAATATTGAGTCATCAAAGTCCAGGGACCATGGAGCAGGGAAAGCCTTTGCCTATGCTGGAGATTAGAGGTGTTATTCAAGCAAAAACCGAAGGAGTTGGCCAAGAAAAAAACCAAGCAGCGGTGTGATCTATGTTGAGAGTAGAATTTGTAAACAGCCAGTCTGGGATGTTGGGATAACTCCCCCCACACAGTCATTATATCAACTTGCTATAGAGTTTGGAGACACGGGCTTTTAATAGGGACAATACAGCCAACTTGGAGATCATTCCCCAAGAAAATAGATTGTCACAGTGGTCCATACATACTTGGTCCCGGCTTTGTCAAACTTGGTTGAGTTCCTTTGGCAACCAATCTGCAACAAATAACTCGTGAACTCTGGCTGTGTGTGAGACCCAGAACCATATACCAGGCACATAAACCAGGCTTCCAGCAGGGGACAAGACAGGTGTGGTTCCTGACCTCACGACAGAGCTAATGACTGTGATGGTCCTTATTTCTGGGAGGTTGGGGCAAAAGGCTAAGGCCCCCAGAGCCCTGGCAGGCTGATCTCAGTCACCTGTCCCAGCGTGCTAATTAAAGAGATGCTTACCAGTGAAAAGCAGGTAAAAGAGTTTCTGTTAATGTGTCATATCAGGAGTAGGAGCAGATAGGGGGACAAGTGACCCCAAGTCCATCTTCTGGACACTGACATGAGCTTCAGGTTTGTATAGAGGAAGAATTAAGGCAAGAGACAAGAGACATGTCTAGGTAAGCAGTCCTGGTCAAAGGGTGGTCTGGTTGATCATTATCTTAGGTCTAGTTTTGGATGATGGTTCACAGGAGTCCCGACTGTTTGAAGGAACAAATCAGTTCTCAGAAGAGTGTTCCTGTTATCCCTTCAGAGTAAACCGCACTCACAGGATGGCGTGTTTCCTCACCCATGCTTGGGGTTGGTGTAAGCCCCTTGCTATAATGTATTTGATTGATCAGCCCTTCTTCAGGAATCCAAGCTGACTGAAGGGTTAGGACAATGGCTAGAGCAGTCTGAAATAGGACACTGTAAACGCTGACAGTAAGCCAGGTGTGGTGGCACGCGCCTTTAATCCCAGCACTCAGGAGGCAGACAGGCATTTGAGTGAGTTCCAGGACATCCATAGCTACACAGAGAAGCCCTGTCTCAAAAAAGAAAAAGAAAAAAAAAAAACCAACAACCACCAAAACAGCGTGGCTACCTGTAATCTCAAAAACTGAGAGACAGAGGTCAGAAGATGAGGGTTAAAGGCCATCCTTGGCTACACAGTGAATTGGAGGCCAGTGTGGGCTACAGAAGGAAGGAAGGAAGGAAGGAAGAAAGGAAGGAAGGAAGGAAGGAAGGAAGGAAGGAAGGAAGGAGACAAGAGGAGAGATGCACCGAAGGCAGAATTGGTTGCCAGGCTTTATCATCCTTTTAGCTACCTTGAGGAACTGCTTCTAAGCAAGGAGACAGTGCTGTTACACTCTGATCACTTTGGATCTACATTGAGCTAGCAAAGGTCAAGTCCACAGAAAGGAAGGGACCAGTTCTATGGCTGAATGTCCCAGAAGAAGCAACCAGTTGCCTGCTGCTCACAAGCAATGGCGGGCAGAGAAAGGGACTTGAGTGTGCTCGGATATAGAGCCAAAATGGGCTGGGGTAAGCTTCCTGAGGGGCAAGAACACCACAGAGACAGGTGTTGGGCAGGTGAGAGAGATGTTCAGGTCCCATGGTCCTGTCTGTTTTGGTGGTTCTGGTAGCTAGGGTAACCAAGACCTAAGGACCACAGATTCAGCATCAGGTGAGGATGCTTGCTTCCAAGATGGCACCTTCCTGTTATCTTCTCCATGCAGAAGGTTTGAAAGAACAAGGAGGAGTCTCACCAGAGTTATGCCCATGTGTGACAGTGACAACTACAAACCTAGCCCAGCCCAGACAGCCACCTTCTTCTTCTTCTTCTTCTTCTTCTTCTTCTTCTTCTTCTTCTTCTTCTTCTCCTTCTCCTTCTCCTTCTCCTCCTCCTCCTCCTCCTCCTCCTCCTCCTCTTC